GTCTGTCTGGTCTCTCTCAGTCTCTCTTCCTGGTCTCTCTCTGGTCTCTCTCTCTCTGGTCTCTCTATCTCTCTCCCTGGTCTCTCTCTGGTCTCTTTCTGGTCTCTTTCTGGTCACTCTCTGGTCTCTTTCTGGTCTGTCTGTCTCTCTCCCTGGTCTCTCTCTTCCTCATCTTTCTCTGTCTGTCTGGTCTCTCTCAGTCTCTCCCTGGTCTCTCTCAGTCTCTCTCCCTGGTCTCTCTCTGGTCTCTCTCTCTCTCTCCCTGGTCTCTCTCTGGTCTCTTTCTGGTCACTCTCTGGTCTCTTTCTGGTCACTCTCTGGTCTCTCTCCCTGGTCTCTCTCTTCCTCATCTTTCTCTGTCTGTCTCTCTCCCTGGTCTCTCTCAGTCTCTCTCCCTGGTCTCTCGCTGGTCTCTCCTAACCTTAGCCCCCGAAGACCACTGCCGTTTTGATTTAGGGCAAATTTTTTACATGAAATGAAAGAAAAACATGTGAAACAGCGAGAAAACGAGGGTCCACTGTCAACACCTTCTTTTGAAACACCACCTCAGCTGCAGACGTCACCTTTAAGGAAGTCAGCCGCACAATCGTCCACTAATACACAACAGTATCCCACAATCTTTCTTGACCTTTTGTCGTCTTTTCCGTCAGCGTTGATTCAAAACATCACAAAACAAAGGTGCAAACATACACAGTACCTTCCTCTGTCTGATCTTATTTAAGTCGACCTTTAAGAAATTGGCTTTGGATCCACAAACGGTCACACAATGGAAGTCGCGCAAACACACAACACGGACCTCTGCAAAGGTCAACATCTCTAAAGTGTTGTAACTATTCCTTGCGCTGAAGAGAAAAGAACATTTGAATAGAACCGGTGGATTAGGGGCCGCTACTGTGTTTGGTTAAAGCTCGGGGATGTAACTTTAAAGGCAGTAGAATCTAGCTCTCATTATATACAAGGATCCCACAGAACTGGAATTAGAAAACCTGTTTTTCATTCTTAAGTACAAGCCGTAAGAGTCACTATTTGAAATCTCGTACCTGCTTCTGTTTCTAGATTTTGTTTTTATGGACAATAAACATCAAAACAGACAAACGACAGAAATATAAGCAAGGACAAAGGGGACGAACAAACACGCCAAAGAAAGAAAAAAACAGACAAAACAAAGGATTTTTCACATTCACACAAAAACTAAAAAGCATTCTTCTAAATTGTGATAGTGCTCGACATAAATAACAAATCTTGCAGTTTCTTCTCATTCTCTGCTGTTTTTTTAACATAATCATTTGCTTCTGTCGTGTCAGAATGAAACATACTTATCACTCCTGCATAGTCATTCACTATAAAACTAACTGTCCTCATTTCATCGCTTTGGTCACAGACAAAACTCGTTCTCAAAATCATATTTGTCAAGCTAATTTCATACATTACTTTATCTTTTTTTTCCTGTAAATCTTTCTTATATTGAACAATTTATCTCAGGTGAATTTCAGCATTGACTCATGAGGAAGTGTGTGTTTTACAGTTTTTCTCGGTCGCTTTGGTGCATTTTTCACATCATTCTTCACATTTGTACAACTGTTGGTGCATTTCTCAGAACAATTAGTGCAAACTGCAAAACCTTGTGGATAACCTGCAAAAGTGCATCACTTTCTCAAAATGGAAAATGAATCCCTCAAAAGCAAGTCCAAACGTCAATGAAACTGTCTGTGTCGTCAGAATAATATGTCCTGACAACATTGAGTATGAACAACACAGTCACATGACTTAGTCGTGTTTTCATTGTGAGAGTTTACTCTCTCTGTGTTTTCAGTGTAAAAAAGTCAGATCTCGGAGACACTTGAGCACGACCTATACAGACATTTACAGTAAAAACTACAGTAAAGTTACACAAAGACTGTATTTAGAGACGTAACTGACATATGTATGTATGTATATATACTGTATGTATATGTATGAAAATACTCTGCTTTGACCTGGAGCATGTTGTAGAAAACCATACAGTTTTTCTCTATCGCTAAAACACAAACCCAGGACTCGAAACCAAATGACCAGTTTGAACACATTTAATAAAACTACCTCCACTTTCCACAACCATAAACACAATTCTCTCCTGTAGACACTGTTCACAAACACATCCCCTTTTCTCAACACTATAAACACACTTTACCTTTGATAAAACACACTTTACCTTTGCTAAAACACACTTTACCTTTGCTAAAACACACTGTACCTTTGCTAAAACACACTTTACCTTTGCTAAAACACACTTTACCTTTGCTAAAACACACTTTACCTTTGCTAAAACACACTGTACCTTTGCTAAAACACACTTTACCTTTGCTGAAACACACTGTACCTTTGCTAAAACACACTACTTTACCTTTGCTAAAACACACTTTACCTTTGCTAAAACACACTTTACCTTTGCTAAAACACACTTACCTTTGCTAAAACACACTTTACCTTTGCTAAAACACACTTTACCTTTGCTAAAACACACTTTACCTTTGCTAAAACACACTTTACCTTTGCTAAAACACACTTTACCTTTGCTAAAACACACTTTACCTTTGCTAAAACACACTTTACCTTTGCTAAAACACACTTTACCTTTGCTAAAACACACTTTACCTTTGCTAAAACACACTTTACCTTTGCTAAAACACACTTTACCTTTGCTAAAACACACTTTACCTTTGCTAAAACACACTTTTACCTTTGCTAAAACACACTTTACCTTTGCTAAAACACACTTTACCTTTGCTAAAACACACTTTACCTGAGAGATTCGAGATTGAGATTCATTTATTGGCCATGTGCAGTATAAAAACTACATTGGAATACATTTGCAAAAAAAAGGTACTCTGTGTGCACCGACAGAATAAAAAGCACGATACAATGTAATATAAAATACACATACACTGAATATAAAATAATAAAAAAAAAAAGAAAAAAACAGCTGACACTGTGGCACCGATCAACAAAACGATACAAGGGGTAAAAGCAGGAATTAAAGTGCTCTGTTTAGGCACCTAACAGCCTGTGGAAAGAAGCTGTTAGCATAGCGAGATGTCTTGCATCTCAGCGACCGATATCTTCTGCCAGAGGGAAGAAGCTGGAACATGGCTTTCCCAGGGTGGCCAGAAGAGTCATTGATGATTTTAAGAGCTCTGTTTAAAAGTCTGGATTTATAAAGAACCTCCAGAACAGGAAGCTCACAGCCCACGGTCCTCTTTGCAGAGCGGAGCACCTTGTTTAAAGCTCTCTTTTCTTTATCTGTGATGTTTCCAAACCACACAGACACAGAACCAACAAGTAAACTCTCAGTGGTGCAGCGATAAAAGTTAAGCAGAATCTTAGAGTTAGTGGTAAATTCTCTAAGTTTCCGCAAAAAGAAGAGCCGCTGACGTGCTTTCTTAACAACCCGGTTAGTATTTTTAACCCATTTCAGGTCGTTAGACAGAGTTAAGCCCAGGAACTTGCACTCCTCTACGATCTGCTCCTGGGAGTTGTCAATAACAACAGGAGTGTGAGAACTGCTACGACTGAAGTCAAAGACAAGTTCACATGTTTTTGCAGTGTTCAGCTGGAGATTGTTTACTTTACTCCACTGAAAAACATGTTCGATCTCTGCTCTATAAGAGGAATCATCATTGTCACTGATGAGACCGATGATGGTGGTGTCATCAGCATATTTGATGATCAAGTTTGAGTCAGAGGAGGACACACAATCGTGAGTGTACAAAGTAAAAAGCAAAGGACTCAAAATACATCCCTGAGGAGAACCAGTGCTCACAGAAACAACATCTGAAAAACAGTCATTGATTTTTACTCTCTGAGATCTGTCAGTTAAAAAGCTAAAAATCCATTTACACATAGCAACTTTCAGACCAAGGGACATTAGTTTTTCAACCAATATGCTTGTGACAAGACAATTAAAAGCAGAGCTATAATCAATGAACAGCATTCTCGCGACAGATTTACTATTGTCCAAATGGGTGTAGACAGAGTTCAGAGCAAAGGAGATGGCATCCTCCACACTCCTGTTCTGTCTGTAAGCAAACTGGAGCGGGTCAACACTCACAGGGATCTGGCTCTTAATGAAGTCCAGCACGAGCCGCTCAAAAGTCTTCATAAGAACAGACGTGAGGGCCACAGGACGGTAGTCACACTTTACCTTTGCTAAAACACACTCTACCTTTGCTAAAACACACTTTACCTTTGATAAAACACATTTTGCGTGTCCTTGTGTATCTATTGTGTGAACTGTTGTATCTATTGTGTGTACTGTTGTATCTATTGTGTGTACTGTAGTATCTATTGTGTGTACTGTTGTATCTATTGTGTGTACTGTAGTATCTATTGTGTGTACTGTTGTATCTATTGTGTGTACTGTTGTATCTATTGTGTGTACTGTTGTATATATTGTGTGTACTGTTGTATCTATTGTGTGTACTGTTGTATCTATTGTGTGTACTGTTGTATCTATTGTGTGTACTGTTGTATCTATTGTGTGTACTGTTGTATCTATTGTGTGTACTGTTGTATCTATTGTGTGTACTGTTGTATCTATTGTGTGTCCTGTTTTGTGTTTAGAGTTCAGTGAAAAGTGAATCATTTGCAACAGGAGTGTTCAGTTCTGATGGTTGTGTTTTACTGAATGACACCAGGTCTGTTCATTGTGTTCATGTTTGCTGACTGTGGGAGGCATTTTGTATCACATGAGCCTCACAATGATTACAGTTTGTGTTTTAGCAAAGGTAAAGTGTGTTTTAGCAAAGGTAAAGTGTGTTTTAGCAAAGGTAAAGTGTGTTTTAGCAAAGGTCCTGAATAAAAACCGGTTGTGGAAGAATCTAGGAGCCACCAAGAAATACAATGAATGATGAAAGTGAAAGTATGCCGTGCCGTGCTTTGATCCTGGAGTGGCAGGACTCTGTGTTATACAAAAGCAAGAGAGCTGTTCTGCTTGTGACATTATTACAGGGTAGTCCCAAATCATGTCCGGGTAAAGCAGTATTTTTGTACACCACAAGTCTAAGGCATTCTAAAGTGCTTTGCAAGACGAGAACAAAAATATTAAAATGTGTTCATATGAATGTCACAATAACTTGTTGTGCGCACATTTGAGGTATATCTGTGCATCAGTCAGTAAACCATTATGGATCTGAGGTAAAGGACAGTCAAACAAACACACACACACTCACACACACACAAACACACACACACACATACACATAAACACACACACTGAGAGGGTGCTCCGCCTAATCACCTTTTACTAAGATTAAGATCACAGTGGGACGAATAAAGGATTTCTTTATCTTAATCTTTTAATGTTATTATTCTTAGTTACAACAGTTTTAAATAATAACACTAGAGCTCCCCAAGCAGTAACATTCATTCCCAAACCATCGTCGCTGAAACGTCTACCCTGAATGAAAGGACAAGACATTAAAAAGACCAGAGTTCTCTGCTTTCACTGAAAATACTCTGCTTTGACCTGGAGCATGTTGTAGAAAACCATACAGTTTTTCTCTATCGCTAAAACACAAACCCAGGACTCTAAACCAAATGACCAGTTTGAACACATTTAATAAAACTACCTCCACTTTCCACAACCATAAACACAATTCTCTCCTGTAGACACTGTTCACAAACACATCCCCTTTTCTCAACACTATAAACACACTTTACCTTTGCTAAAACACACTGTACCTTTGCTAAAACACACTTTACCTTTGCTAAAACACACTTTACCTTTGCTAAAACACACTTTACCTTTGCTAAAACACACTTTACCTTTGCTAAAACACACTTTACCTTTGTTAAAACACACTTTACCTTTGCTAAAACACACTTTACCTTTGCTAAAACACACTTTACCTTTGCTAAAACACACTTTACCTTTGCTAAAACACACTTTACCTTTGCTAAAACACACTTTACCTTTGCTATAACACACTTTACCTTTGCTAAAACACACTTTACCTTTGCTAAAACACACTTTACCTTTGCTAAAACACACTTTACCTTTGCTAAAACACATTTTACCTTTGCTAAAACACACTTTACCTTTGCTAAAACACACTGTACCTTTGCTAAAACACACTTTACCTTTGCTAAAACACACTTTACCTTTGCTAAAACACACTTTACCTTTGCTAAAACACACTTTAACTTTGCTAAAACACACTTTACCTTTGCTAAAACACACTTTACCTTTGCTAAAACACACTTTACCTTTGCTATAACACACTTTACCTTTGCTAAAACACACTTTACCTTTGCTAAAACACACTTTACCTTTGCTAAAACACACTTTACCTTTGCTAAAACACACTTTACCTTTGCTAAAACACACTTTACCTTTGCTAAAACACACTTTACCTTTGCTAAAACACACTTTACCTTTGCTAAAACACACTTTACCTTTGTTAAAACACACTTTACCTTTGCTAAAACACATGTTACCTTTGCTAAAACACACTGTACCTTTACTGTGCAACATATGTGTGTACTGTAGTATCTATTGTGTGTACTGTAGTATCTATTGTGTGTACAGTTGTATCTATTGTGTGTACTGTAGTATCTAATGTGTGTCCTGTTGTATCTATTGTGTGTACTGTTGTATCTATTGTGTGTACTGTTGTATCTATTGTGTGTCCTGTTGTATCTATTGTGTGTACTGTTGTATCTATTGTGTGTACTGTTGTATCTATTGTGTGTCCTGTTGTATCTATTGTGTGTCCTGTTGTATCTATTGTGTGTCCTGTTGTATCTATTGTGTGTCCTGTTGTATCTATTGTGTGTCCTGTTGTATCTATTGTGTGTCCTGTTGTATCTATTGTGTGCCCTGTTGTATCTATTGTGTGTACTGTTGTATCTATTGTGTGTACTGTTGTATTTATTGTGTGTACTGTTGTATTTATTGTGTGTCCTGTAGTATCTATTGTGTGTACTGTTGTATCTATTGTGTGTACTGTTGTATCTATTGTGTGTCCTGTTGTATCTATTGTGTGTCCTGTTGTATCTATTGTGTGTCCTGTTGTATCTATTGTGTGTCCTGTTGTATCTATTGTGTGTCCTGTTGTATCTATTGTGTGTCCTGTTGTATCTATTGTGTGTACTGTTGTATCTATTGTGTGTCCTGTTGTATCTATTGTGTGTACTGTTGTATCTATTGTGTGTACTGTTGAATCTATTGTGTGTTGCTCAGATGAGTCCTGGCAGCTGTCAAACTGTAGAAAGAACACTCTCACACTCAGACGCCGTGAGAGGTTTTGTGGTTTGATTTTGAGCAGATAAAACTGTGATGGGTTTGTTTTTGGAAAGAGACTGTGCGGTTGTGTGTGCGTAGAAAAGTGTTTTGTGTTTTGCTTTGAGCAGGATGTGAAAATCCAAAAGGCCAAAAGTGGCACTCTCCCACATGGTACTTTACCAGTGAGATTAGCTCCACGCAGTGAGTTCTGGCGCCTGGATCACAGACGTTTGATTGGTGGACGGTGGACATCAAAATGAAAACAACAAGATTTAGCGGCTGTAAAACTACTTTTGAAATTCAAACATCTCTGTTCGACAGTTATCAGTTATAGAAGTAATGGAAAAGAGCATGTTTTATTAAAGTGTTTGGAGTTTGTCAGAAAAAAAGAGAGAGAGAGGATTTGAAAAAAACAACCCAAGCTCCTCCCCCTTCCTTTCTGATTGGTCTACGCCTACGTTTCCGTAACAATCAATCAACAAATTTAAATGCTAATCGGAGAACACATTATACTTATACATTGTTAATACACATGCACGGAGGTTTTCAGAATTATTTATTAACGTTTTAATGACAAAAATAATGTTTTTATGCACAAAAAAAGCGATCGCGGCAAACCAGCAAGTGCTATTATCATGAATTGAACATTATAGGACACATCTGCAGAGAATCTGATTATGGATATAGGTTCAGTATATAAATGATTATGGATATAGGTTCAGTATATAAATGATTATGGATATAGGTTCAGTATATAAATGATTATGGATATAGGTTCAGTATATAGATGATTATGGATATAGGTTCAGTATATAAATGATTATGGATATAGGTTCAGTATATAAATGATTATGGATATAGGTTCAGTATATAGATGATTATGGATATAGGTTCAGTATATAGATGATTATGGATATAGGTTCAGTATATAGATGATTATGGATATAGGTTCAGTATATAGATGATTATGGATATAGGTTCAGTATATAAATGATTATGGATATAGGTTCAGTATATAAATGATTATGGATATAGGTTCAGTATAAATGATTATGGATATAGGTTCAGTATATAAATGATTATGGATATAGGTTCAGTATATAGATGATTATGGATATAGGTTCAGTATATAGATGATTATGGAGGCTTGATGCTGAGGCTCTGTGAAAACAACTGAGCATGAGGCCAATGATTGACAGCCCTTGGCATCACCTGATTGGTTAACGTGGACGGCATCGTGGATTCTGAGCTATAGCTAAGAGAAGGGAAGGCGGGACTTACCCGTAATATTAGAATTGATAAAATGACTTATTTTATATCAACATTTAAGGCCAGGAGGTCAATTTAATACAATTCTTAAAATTTGTGATTCATTTAGAGTTACAGACTATCACTTCAATGTCTTTTGACAGATTAGGGCCCTTTAATGATGACTTGACAGGAAAATCTTACATATTGACTTTAAGAACTCACACTTGTATTTAATGTGTATTCAGATTAGAATAACAATGACATAGAAATCACACAAACAAACACGGAAAAGTCCCAAACGAATGAAGACCAAAAATCTATTTACCCTGAGTCATTACACACAGTTAGACTCTTTACAGTTCACCTCCTCTCTCCTCAGCAGGAGGTCCAGCACAGACCGGTCCTCAGTCCTCTCTCCTCAGCAGGAGGTCCAGCACAGACCGGTCCTCAGTCCTCTCTCCTCAGCAGGAGGTCCAGCACAGACCGGTCCTCAGTCCTCTCTCCTCAGCAGGAGGTCCAGCACAGACCGGTCCTCAGTCCTCTCTCCTCAGCAGGAGGTCCAGCACAGACCGGTCCTCAGTCCTCTCTCCTCAGCAGGAGGTCCAGCACAGACCGGTCCTCAGTCCTCTCTCCTCAGCAGGAGGTCCAGCACAGACCGGTCCTCAGTCCTCTCTCCTCAGCAGGAGGTCCAACACAGACCGGTCCTCAGTCCTCTCTCCTCAGCAGGAGGTCCAGCACAGACCGGTCCTCAGTCCTCTCTCTTCAGCAGGAGGTCCAGCACAGACCGGTCCTCAGTCCTCTCTCCTCAGCAGGAGGTCCAGCACAGACCGGTCCTCAGTCCTCTCTCCTCAGCAGGAGGTCCAGCACAGACCGGTCCTCAGTCCTCTCTCCTCAGCAGGAGGTCCAGCACAGACCGGTCCTCAGTCCTCTCTCCTCAGCAGGAGGTCCAGCACAGACCGGTCCTCAGTCCTCTCTCCTCAGCAGGAGGAGATTGGAATCCTCCAATCTCCTCCTCTGCCGGTTGGAAAGTCCACGGCAACCGGCATATCAACAAACCTTCCTCTCCACAGGATTGGAGCTGCATGGGGGCCGGCAGTGCTTGTTAGTGCTCGGCATCATGGGAAAAACACACACACACACACACACACACACACAGGAGCCACCACTAAATACAGAAAGAAAGAATTGAACTTTCTCTGTGCTTTATGGAAGAAAGAGGATCTGTTAACTATGGTTGACACACACACACACACACACACACACACTGAAAAATAACATTGATAAACACACGCATATACATGCACAAACCACACCCATGAATGAGAGGTCTGTATGTATACTGAGACAGAGGTCTGTATGTATACTGAGACAGAGGTCTGTATGTATACTGAGACAGAGGTCTGTATGTATACTGAGACAGGAGAGGTCTGTATGTATACTGAGACAGAGGTCTGTATGTATACTGAGACAGGAGAGGTCTGTATGTATACTGAGACAGAGGTCTGTATGTATACTGAGACAGAGGTCTGTATGTATACTGAGACAGGAGAGGTCTGTATGTATACTGAGACAGAGGTCTGTATGTATACTGAGACAGAGGTCTGTATGTATACTGAGACAGGAGAGGTCTGTATGTATACTGAGACAGAGGTCTGTATGTATACTGAGACAGAGGTCTGTATGTATACTGAGACAGGAGAGGTCTGTATGTATACTGAGACAGAGGTCTGTATGTATACTGAGACAGAGGTCTGTATGTATACTGAGACAGAGGTCTGTATGTATACTGAGACAGGAGAGGTCTGTATGTATACTGAGACAGAGGTCTGTATGTATACTGAGACAGGAGAGGTCTGTATGTATACTGAGACAGAGGTCTGTATGTATACTGAGACAGAGGTCTGTATGTATACTGAGACAGAGGTCTGTATGTATACTGAGAGATTGGGAATTGAATTTGAAGTGTCTGTTTGAAGCTGCAGAGATAATAATACGGTGGTTTTAAATCTTTTATTGAAGTAAAAATAACACTGTAACAACATGAGAAAGAAAAAGGCCCCACTTTACACTGTCACATTGTTTCCTCTTGGCTCTTGCTGCTGGATTTGTTTCTTTGAACCGTTTTGGGAATGACATTTCTTTCCATTTCTTATTATAAAAGACTTTCTTTCACAGTGAGGATGACAATGAACACTTGCAAAAGACTGGCGAGAGAATGGTGTGTGTGTGTCTGTGTGTGTGAGTGTATTTTTGGACCAGTCTAGTTTAGTTGCTGTGGACTTCAGAAGGCACTCGTTAAATTAATGGGGCTCCTGCAGAGTTTTTTCACATTTTCCAGTAAGTAAAATCTAAACCGAGCCTCTGTGCAGCCTCTTCAGAGACGGTACGATGGAGGGACTTTTTGCTTATGTCCCGTAAGGAGAGAATCCGGTCATTTTTTTCTAAGATATGGATTGTTTTAGCCTGGCCTTATCGTACAAGCATCCTCATTTCATTTCGTACTAAGGTCTGGATTTGCTACATTGACTCCGTTAACAGGTGGGAGGGGCTAACTCCTTTTGCAGATTGAAACGATTGGATCTGAGTTTACCGTAACGTATGTAATGAGCCCGAGTGAGTGAGGCATTTAGCATTTAGCCTAGCTTTAGCCATCTCCTTATCCACTAACGGAGCCCGTGGGGAGTAGAGCCGCAACATCTTTGCAGCGATGACATTTGCTAAACATTCCTCCTGCTCCCGCTTCAATTTCTTTATGTAGGAAATGATCAGGACCAGAGTTTACACATGGTAAGACCAGGCAAAAACAACACACAAATACTGCATAATTTCTGTCCTTAAACCCAGCCAGACTCTGCTGCCGTCGCCGCCTTCGCCTTCTCACATTTAAATGTCTCTTCTCATGTTTTCCTCAAAGACAGATGTCGGTGGGAAGCTTAAAATGTGACAAACTTCTAACATCCCATTTCCCCAGAGCGATACTATCTCCCTGAACACACACAGGCTCCGATCTGTGGCATGACCTTCGCAACCGTGTGTGTGTGTGTGTGTGTGTATGTGTGTGCGTGTGTGTGTGTGTGTATAGACAGAAATCTTCCACAGACACACATAAGACCAGGTATAAAGGCGACTGTCTGCTCTGTTTATGTGGTGTTTGAAAATATCTCTATATCTTGTATCTAAATCTAAATCAGATTCAGATGTAGTTTATTTGCCATTTGCAGTAAAACCCCATTGGAATACATTTGTCCCCAGTGTGCACAAGACAAGTACATACAAAAAACAAGGTATTTTCTGTGTTATTAATTAAGTTGAATGTTAGTGTTATATACTGTAGCTCGAGATATTCTTAAAAACTAAATGTGTCTTAAAAAAAACGTAATTCATGTAATGTTTTCATGCTCATATTCTCGCTGCATCTCATGGCCTAACATATAGCATTGACAGACCTCTCGAAAACGTCTTTACAAGTTGGCTCTTGGCCCAAAGCTCCGTTCCACATGTGTGTCAATGCTGAGGGGGGTGAATGTTTTCGGTCCACTCTAGTTTACTTGCTGTGAATTTTTGAAGTCTCTCGTTCAAATGATTGGAGCTGCTCCGATTGACACATGCGCAGATGCGTTTTTTCACAATTTTCTTGTGGGCGGGACCACTCGCGGCCATTTTGAATAGCTCCAGTAGAGCACATTTTTTGGCCCATTAGTTAGAACGGCGGAGATAGGCGTGACTCTGTCCGTTAATATATACAGTCTATGGTGGGAGCAGATCACTCCCACAATGGGGCCTTCCCGAGGTTTCTCACTTTTTCTCCACTGCGTTTTTGAAGTAGTTTTGCCGATGGAGGACAGTGGCGATAATCCAGGATAATCCACATTCAACAACATTTATGAAAGCATTTCACATTCATGGACATTGGTCTCTGCCCCTTATGGACAAAAATAACTATAATTGAATGAGTCATTTTGCATTGCTCCACTCCTCTCTATGGAAAAACTCATATATGTAAGAAAACACCTCTCGTTGTCTTTTCCGGGATGTATCTCGTGGACAAACCATTATTTTTTGACATCTTGGGACATCATTAGAGCTGCGTCTCCACGTGTGGATGCTGAAAATACTGCTGCAACTTCAGGCTTGTCCAATGAATCTCGTTTCCCCTTATTTCTCTGAGCTCCGACAGAAAACAAACCCCCTTTACTGATCTAGTTATGGCTTATGCAAAGTAACAAACAGACACATGAAATCCCAGCCTCCTGCAGAACAATGAACTGATGTAGACTGTCCGGTTCAAGCTCCGATAATCACCAGAAAGGGAGAGACAGACACAGAGAGAGAGAGACAGAGAGCGCGAGAGACAGACTTAGAGAGAGAGCAAGAGACAGACTTAGAGGGAGAAAGAGAGAGACAGAAAGAAAGAGAGAGTAGTCGGAGGAGGTCAGTCAGAGGAGGTCAGTCTGAGGAGGTCAGTCAGAGGAGGTTAGTCTTGGAACAACCTTCCTACCGTCATAAGAGAATGTCCGACATATAGCTCTTTAAAAAAAAAAACAACTTAAACACCATATTAAAGAAAATCAGTGCTGCACTCATTCTAACTAACTGTAATTAGTATAATGAGGCGACAGTGGCTCAGTTGGGAGAGCATTTGACTTTGACCCTGCAGGTCGTGGGTTCAATCCCACCATGAGACCTTCACAACTCCCACTGATGACTGCTGTCGTTGTGTCCTTGGGCAAGACACTTAACCCCACTTTGCCTGAAGCCCCCGCTGATAGATCTTAGCTCCTGTGGACTAACAGGGGAAGAAAATGGATGGATGGAAGTAAGTTGTATAGTTGTATTCTTGTTATCGTGTGACCTGCCTCGAGACTACGGATGCAAATGAGCAGTTGTGCTATAATCTGGCACATTTACAATTTTTTTTACAACTTGTATATAATTGTTCATTAATATGGGTTGTCCCGATCAAAAAAATAACCAAATACATAAAACTGATAATCACCATCTCCAGCTCAATGTGAGTTATTGATGTTTACACAAAAGATGTCATGAAGAGAAAGCTGCAGTCTCCAGGAGAGAGAGAGATGAGCACAACTCGTCCGTTTTTCATCTCGCAGCAGAATTTACGCTTCAATTTCAGCGGCGAGCGCAGCACCAGCGGCGCCGGCTTCTCCCAGGACTGAGATCTACACTTTCCACACAATGTTTATTCTCTTTAATCTGAATCCGCGATGACTGTATCACGTCCTCCGGGCAGATACGACAGGGCGGGGAATAAAACACAAAACAGGGCGGGGAAGAAGAAGATTTAGTCCTTGGTTTTCCATTTATAAAGTAGAATAAATACAACCAGGCTTTTTTCCCTTTTTCGTTTTGGGAGAGGTTGCCGTGGCAATGGGTTAAAGAGAGGAATGGGTCAAAAAAAAGGGTACAAATATTAAAAGAATAAATAAAAAACAGAGAGAAACCAGAGAGAGGGACTAAAGTGAAAGACATGAGCGAGAGAGAGGGAGACTAGAGAGATCAGAATGGGAGAGAGAAAGAGAAAGAGAAAGAGAAAGAGAGAGAGAGAGAGAGAGAACAGAAAGAGAGATGGTGGCTGAGTGAGCACTCTCGCCTCTCAACAAGAAGGTCGTGGGTTCAAATCTCGGTTGGACCAGGGCCTTTCTGAGTGGAGTTTTCTGCGCTACCACCAGAGGGAGCTGTACATTTTTGTAGTTTTATTCCAAACTTGAAACTTAACCCTGAGATGTTCTCCCTGTGTCTGCATAGGTTTCCTCCGGGTACTCCGGTTTCCCCTACCACTAAAAATATGTACAATAGGTCTGGCATGCGCCTCCTGTACTGGCGACCCCGCTCC